AACATAAAATTGAGTAAACACAATTTTTTTCTTAATGTAAATGTATGCATCTCACTATCTCTATCTATCTTCCTCCCCTCTCTCCATACCCACCTACCTTTATTATCTCCCTCCCAACCTACCTACTGACCAATCCAACTACCTATTGAACACATCCTACTCCTTAACCTATTGCAAAACCTACAATCTAACTTCCTGCTTAACGTACATCTCTTCCCACCACCCGAATCGTCAAATCACCTAATTTACCAAAATACCTACTCCACAGGACACCCAGGGGGGCCAGGAGCTAGAGGGGACCCAGGCGAGGGAGGCTCACCAGGGCCTCGGGGTCCCCGGGGGGACATTGGACCCATGGGTCCAGAGCCTGATCTAAGGCATATCAAAAGAGGCCGCAGAGGACCAGTGGTAAATAATAAAAAATACAAATATACAGAACAATACAGTACCGTATATAGTCTACAGTCCTGGGTGTATTTGAAATAATATGCATGTAAATAGAAAGCAATCATTTTGCATTGACTTGGAAAAAAAATTTGAAACTTGTGTTTTATTCTTCATGCAGGGACCACCAGGGGCCCGCGGAAAAGACGGTTCAAAGGTCACTTCAACATCCTTATATACACATATATAAAAACAATTTGCTCACGTTCATGTCCATGTATGTGGCCTGCTGCCCTCTGGTGGCCAAATCAGCAACTACAACAACATCTCGCAGCAGCTCAAAATTAACCAATGGCCGAGTCTCTTCAGGGTCAAATACTGCATTTGCATATCCATAATGCTCGCGTCGTTTCTGTGATATGTCATGTGATTTTTTTTGTTGTTGTTGCTAAAAATATTGTATGTACAATTTGCCATTTTCAGGGTGACAGAGGAGCTGATGGTCCCAGTGGGCCCCCTGTAAGTTTGTTTCACATTATAATGCATTATTATTTTCCATCCATTCATCCATTTTTCCCACCGTTTAAACGTGTTATTCATGTTAATATTAACATTGTATCCTCTTCAAGACCAAAACTGAGCATTGTTTGTCTCATGAAGACATTTTGAACAATCATTGCCCACCCGTAAATCCTTGCGATCTGTTTGTCAGGGCCCTCCAGGCTCCTTCGACTTCCTGTTGCTGATGATGGCCGACATTCGAAATGACATCATTGAACTGCAGGAGAAAGTGTTTGGAGACAAGAGGGGCATCTCGTTGGACTCTTTTCCCTCCGGTGGGGAGCCTGATTTTGCCGAGTGGGGGTCCGGCCAAGGGGACCTCATGTTCAGTACCTGAACTTTTTGAATGCTGCTGGTGTCATTATTTAAAGACAAAAAGAGGACTCCCGAAGGACACGAAGGACTTGAAAGGTCAAGCCTTTTTGCTCGCATCTCTTCCTCATCCTCTCTCCTCCTGCTACAGGTTAGCATGCAAACGGAGAGTCTCTTTTCAAATTAAAACGAGGTTCTTTATTGCCAATGTGCAGCGAGAGGGATTATTTGTTCAATAAAAGAAAGAAAATGTCATATTGTTATGAGAAAGCGTGTCAGTGTAATGACAATTGGGTCTCTTTTTCAAGAAAAACTGGAGAAAAAAAATCGATGAAATTGTCATAAAATTCAGAGAATAATCTCACACTCAAGTTACTATTTTATGCGATACCTGGTACATAAAATGGTGTGACAAAAATCATATTACAATAACAAGTGTAAATACAGAATTGAAATATAAATAAAATCATGAAGTCGCCGTCATGTGAGAAAAATAGATTAAAGAAAAAGATTTGTATTTTTATAGGAAACACATTTTTGGTGTCACGAGAA